AAAAAGAGCATTTCAGTCTAATGTAACAGCTTGTGCCACCAACTAATGAAGAGAGGAAACACAGTATGTTTGTTAGGGGTAGGAATATTAATCGTGCTCTGTTAACCATGATTGTTAGCTATGGTTATCCTATCTAATAATAGACAAACATGGTAATTGACCATACCTTCGCTATGCCTCCCATTGGCTAATCAGCGTGATATGCAAATTAACCGCCAACAAATATGGCGGCTAATTTGCATACTGCAGGCGAGGCCGGCAGCACATGACGCTGCCTGCAGGACCCGGGACCCAGACCCCTGACCCGGCGAGGCGGGGCCAGTAGTGCCCAACACTGCCCGGGGGATCCGGGCCTTGGATCTGGTGACCTGGTGAGGGAGCAAAGTGGCAGAGAAGGGAGAGAGCCCAGGTGGCAGAGAAGGGGGGGAGCTGAGGGCTAAGTGGCAAAGGGAGGGAGCAAGGCAGCGGAGAAGGGAGTGAAGCCCGCCTCAGTGGGCTTCGCTCCCTTCTCTGCTTCGCTGCGGTCTCAGGAGGCCCTATTCTTGCAGGAATCTTCCTGCAACGGGCCTCTAGTAAGAAATATTAATGATGCTCTGTTAACCATGATGGTTCTGTTCTGATTAGAGAAAGCATATTCTCACCTGGCTGAGTTGTACACCCTGGGACAACGGAGTTAACCCGGAATGTGGTCCATTCTCCTTATCCAAGAACTGCCTATTATCAGGGAAAGATGAACAACTTTTGTTGCCAAAACAACAGAGTCCCAGAGGCGTCAATCCTTTGCAACATTCCCTCCCCACCCCCCTGCCCCCACTCCCCAGCCTACATGGCCTGTAACCTGTAACCATTATACCCATTCTTATTCCTTTTGCCTACTTCCCCATGCCTGTAACTGCTTTTGCCCACTTCCCCATGTAATCTTTGCCCTTCTATCCAATATAAGCATCTGGCTATGGGGGAGGGGAGATTGAGCAGATTTTTGTGGATGACCTGCTGCTCTCCCATTCTGCCGGCAGTATTGGAATAAACACTCATATATGGTTCAACCCTGTCTCTGCTTAATTGGCTCAAGTAGTGACAGGCAGCCTGGACCCATTGTTTGTCCAGTTTCATGTGCAAGGAACTGAAAGAAAGCAGGCACAGCTGGGCCCCAAAGCCTGAAAGGCGGGTTTTGGCATGGCCACTATTTCCATCAGCTTCTTGTTAATTTTGTTAAGAACCTGGGCCCATGAGCCCAATACTTATTTTAATGGCTAACGAAAAAAGAACATTCAAAATTTCTTTTATTTACATTATAAAACATTCTGTTCCTAAATGTTCTGTTTCTTCTGAATTTCTACCTATTTTACACTTGAATAGAAACTGAACCATTGCACAGTAGTTCTTTCTGTACTCTTGACCTTAAATAAGCCTTTCCCTTTAGTATTGCTTCAGAAAACACAGAACTTCACATAAATTTAATTCTTGCTTATCTGTAAGACAGCTGAGAGTATAATGAATCATGGCAGACTAATATCAACAAAAGCAAAAAAGAAAACTCTTCAGTATTACTTTATCTCAATATTTAAATCCTAAAGCATTCAGGCTACTTTAGGCAATAACCGGAATTCCCTGAACCGTAAAAACATCAGAGAATCGAGGTGGGGGCAGGTCACGTTAACTGAGGACAAAAGAAATGAATGTAGAGCCTGGCCAGCATGGCTCAGTGGTTGAACATCAACCTATGAACCAGGAGGTCATGGTTTGATTCCCAGTCAGGGCACATGCCTGGGTTGTGGGCTTGATCCCCAATGTGGGCATGCAGGAGACAGCCAATCACTGAGTCTCTCTCATTGTTGATGTTTCTATCTCTCTCTTCCTCTCCCTTTCTCTCTGAAATCAATAAAAAAAAAATTTTTAAAGAAAGAAATGAATATAGAATAGCCAATGCTCCAAATTTCTAGATAAATTTTTAAAAACATAGCAATTTGCCAATCAAGCAAGGCATTATTTTGTTTCTAAAGGAAACTACTTGGGAACCTGAAGAGAATTTCATGGGAACAAGGAAAATTACCATTCTCAATTTATCATTCCTAAAAAGTAAAAATCTCTTATGTCCAATATACTTAATTCAGACTGAGTCTTTCTCAGTCTTTAAACTGTATCTGACACTGAATGATATCAGAGGAATGACAGCGTGAGAGTGTACCTTGTTCTCTCCCTCTGAAACTTCCACAAGTTAACCAACTATAATCCAACAAAGAAATCTCTACTCAACACAGATGCATGCCTGAGAGACCTGGGAGGGGGTGGGGGTGGGGGGTGAGGGTGCGGGACAGCCTGCAACAACATGTTAGGTCAGGTTATAAAAAGTGTTCGAAGAATAATGGAGCCATATCAATAGGACATAAGAGCCAGCTTGAAGGGACTCATACTAGCCAAACCTGAGACCATTGGACCATCAAAATCAATAATTATAGAAATGGATAACCTACTGAATTAAATAGAAATGCATGAGTCCAAACGGATACAAATAAATAGGAAATAAAAGAAAGCAATTCCTTATAGTAGAATGCCAACTAAAAAATACAAGAGAAATTATGGCTTTAAAAAAATGACCATTTATTAATTGATTCAGGCAAGAATCATCAATGGATGCTGAAATTAATGGGTAAAAGTCTGATAAGTAACAGGATATTTGTACAATATCAAAATATCTCATCACAAAAGACGGTAACTATAAAGGGGGAAATAGTAACCTTACTAAAAACTTGCACACCCCACCTTAATCCAGTGACAATGCAATGGTGTGCTACTGCTGACTCACCACAACTCAAGAGAGGCGCACCCCTTCCCAATGTTGTGTTCAGTGATGACATGACCATGATGGGGGTATTTGCACCGAAATCCGCAAGTGTTACAAATCCAGGCTTTTTACCCCTGAGAACCAACTGTTAGTTATTTATAAGCATAATAACTGGATCAAAGTTACTTCCCCCAAGCAAGCTGACTTTATTCGTGATAGCACACACTACGGACACAGCCTCTCTTTTGTGGTATTCTGCCCGAAATGCATAACCTCATTCTAAGGATGAGAAAGCATCAGAAAGAATCTAAATTGAAAGACGTTCTACAAAGTAACCGACGAAAGGAAGAAATCACATCTAGAGAAAAATGACCAAGCAAATGTGACTAAATGTTAGCCATGGAGAACCTGGGTGCGGGGCATACAATTCTTGGTACTGTTCTGGGAACTTCTCTGTAAGTCTGACTTAAAAGAAAAAAATTAAAGTTATAAGGAAAAAACCGCCAACACTACCTGGTCCTCTGCCCTCATCCTGCGGCCCCGGACATCTAAGGGCATCACAGACCTGTTATTGCTCAATCTCGGGTGGCTGAACGCCACTTGTCCCTCTAAGAAGTTGGGGGACGCCGACCGCTCGGGGGTCGCGTAACTAGTTAGCATGCCAGAGTCTCGTTCGTTATGGTCGAGGCGGTGAGGCCTCAAGGTGTCCAAGGGCGCGGTCACAACAGAAGCGAAGCAGCGTCCACCAGCCACAGTGGGCTGCCCTTCTGACGAGCACATATTCCTAAAAGACAAGAACCTTAGCCCTCAGATGCCTGACCCCATCCCTACCCACAAACCCAGTGTTGTCCTCTGCGCCCACTTTCCTCTTTATTTTGGGCCTTGAAGCCGTGTCCCAGCACTCACAGCCACAGAGCGAAGTGGGGAGTTCCCTTGTGAAGACAGAATGAGGTAATGGCATCTCCAAAAGCCTTAATGTCTCCTTAACGCTGCCTTTGAAAGCCCAATGCTTGTGGTCCAGGTGCTGCTGCTTCCCAGTGTGGCTGTGAAAACTTTGGCCAATACCAGCTCGCCACTCCCCCTGGGAGGAGGGTACTGATGGGCTGATGGGCTTTCCCATTATCTATCAATTAGCTGGAAGCTGAGCGAAGTGTGTTCAGCCTTACAACGCTGTTCTGATCTACTGCTCTCTGCTCGGGGAACACCAGGACACAGCAGGTGGTGGGCTACGCCAAAGGTACTGTGCTTCTCCACTTCCCCATTGCATTTGCTAATGGAAGCTGATTCATAGGATGAAGCCATCCTATTTGACGTTTTGAGATGAAGGTAGCAAGTTGCAGGGATAACAGGCTGAGGTGCTGTTAAGCCATGTTGACAGTGACTAGAGCTGCTCTTCCAAGTTTCCTCATTCTTCCTGGGTGGACGAGGAAGGTTATTGCCCTTGTCTAGCACAGCACCTGGCACATGGTAGGTGTTTGATAAATACCAATGACTTTATCATGCTCTGCACATCCTGTAGAACTGGAGTGCTCACTCTTCCATCCCCAGTAAATCTGAAAGTATTGTTGCCTGTGTTGGCACTGCTGTCATTCTTTAAAATGATATTTTGTCAAATAAACTCTGTGTTCTTACTGTTTGTGGGAGAATTCTGAGGTTCCCAATGATCTCAAATGCTGAGCAGTAACAAGAGACTGAAAACATAATCAGGATCTGTTTCATTCTGTATTCATGGAATCTGATTATGACTCTTTATATATTTTTCTTTTACCCTCTCTACACAAAATGAAAGGATCCCATGATGAAAAGGGTGAAGAAAAGATGACTTTATTTCAATTGAGCAGACAGACATGACAAACAAATGAAGACAGACCACGTAATCAAAAGGATATTGGGAGCCTGGCCAGTGTTGCTCAGTGGTTGAGTGTAGACCTATGAACTAGGAGGTCACAGTTAGATTCCCAGTCAGGGCTCATGTCTGGGTTGTGGGCTCAATCCTCAGATGGGAATGTGCAGGAGGCAGCCGATCAATGATTCTCTCTCATCATTGATGTTTCTATCTCTCTCTCTCCCTTCCTCTCTGAAATCAATAAAAAAATTTATATATATATATATAAAATATATATATATTTTAAAAGTATATTGGGAGAAGATAAATGGACTCTTTTTAATGATTCACAGCAACCTCATTTATCCCCTACCGTTACTAGAGAGAAAAATGTCATCAGATAACCAGTGGTCAGCAGATGAGGACGAAGGTCAATTTTCCCGGCTGATCAAGAAATCTAGAGACTCCCCCTTTGTGCCTGTAGGTAAGTACAAGCCTTGACTGGATGCTGAAAAACTGTAATCGTACAGTAATGCTTTGCCCAGTATCTTGGAGGATTCAAATGTTTTATGTAACTGATTTTTTTTCCAGATAATTGAAGCTAACACCCTCTAAGCATAAGCTAAACTTTCAGAAGTTTCTAGTATATGGTGAATCCCCAATAATGGTTAGCTATTATTATTATGGAGCATCAGATTTTATTCTAATCCATCTTCATTAGAGGGTTAAATAAAATTATTAGGTCCCAGCCAATCTAAAGGGAATTAATTGAATGGACTTTAATTTTCTGTGATGACTCAGTAGCACACTGAGAGTCTATTGGGACTATGACGATGGATAGGTCCCTCCGTCCTCTAAGTAACTCCAACTTTAAATTCTTGTGTCTGATGTTTACAGATTTTTTGTTTCTCCCATATTACTGGATACCATAAAAAATCTTCTGCCTCTGATGTTCTCTGGCACTAGAAGCTAGATACCTAAACTTAAAAGAACTATGAGTCAATTCAGAGAAAAGAAGCTCTGAACGAAAGCTTGGGCTTACCTGTACACCCAAGAGCATGAACTATGTGATATTCATGCTCAGCGACCCTTTTTCCTGGCTTCCTGATCTACTCAGTTGAGGTTGATGGTTAAGTAGTCTCTAGATTAAAGAAGTGTTATTATAATTAGACCTAGAGTCTTGGCCTCTTTATCCTTTCCCAACACATATTTAGTATGTTTACATTTTCAACAAATACTACATGTATGTAGGGTTAAAAAAAATCTAGGCCCCAATATTGTTTTTTAAAATCGAAGCTTTCTCTTCTCTTTTGGATGCTTCAGCTGCCTTAAGCATTATTATTGTATACGGCAGCCATGCCTCTTTCCTTATAACTTTGGAAACCACTACAATAACCTATTTAAATTAGACTTACATAAGTTGTGATTAATTCCATAAATCCTTCTAAGTAGGTATGTCATGTTTCCATTGTCACTGTAAGTCTAGCAACTTCATGTGATTATTCACATATCAACAAGAATTAAAGTTTTACTTTATAGTAATATTGTGTTTAGAAGTTTCATTAATTTGAATGACTTGTAATAGCACCCATAACAAATCTAAGCAAATAAATTTATAGTGATTTATTCACCCTCCTTAGCATTTTTAACTAGAAAAACAATTCAAGACCTCGATGCCACCTGCACAGATCACTGTAATGAGCAGGATTGATCACTGTGCCTGCCGTAAATTAAATTATTTTCCAGACACATTTAAGGTGATTAAAGTAGAAAGATTAAAGTGTTTCCAGCTAAATTCAATTATATACAAATTACAGAGACACTCTATGGAAAACAGTAAAGGTTCTGACTTTAATCTCTAAAAGAAACAAAACCAATTTAAGTAAGAACAGAACCTTGATTTGATAAGGGAAAAGAACCAAGTTTTTGCTAGAAAAATAATGATAAAATTGGGGTATATATTATTGAGTAGTTTGTTTAGCTATTGTTATTTTAATAATATGTATTTCCTGCTATAGGATAGAGTGTCCAGTGCAAATAATTTACAAAACATTCTTTGTTATCTTCAACAACTTCCATCATTATAATCTATTTATATTGTTTAGAATGGTCCTAGATCTTAAGACCTGTACATATATTATGTGCATTTAAACTATGTTGATAGATTGTTTTTGCTTCTTTCACTTAACATTTCATATGTACATTTCTGTGTATTAGTACTTTCTATACTTACAATTTTTTTATAGCTCTGACAGATTTTCCTTTGTTTGAGCTATTTGGGCTGTTTTGTTTTCCTCAAATATAATGTAGCCACAAAATCTTTGTGTCAACTTCCTAAATTTTCTTTTGCTTATTTCCTTGGAGTATGTTCCCAAAGGTAGAATTTCCAGAGCAGGAAGCATGTTCAGTTTAATGTCACTTATTATATATTTCCAGAATTCTTTCCAGAAAGATTTAGCTAAACTTACAGAGCTTTCATCATGGTACCATCTCTCAATGTGCCTACCATCATCATTTTATTAGTATTTGCTTTTTGCTGATTTTATATACTTGTCATTTTTATTTCAATTTATTTTTATATTTTACTTTTTTATCTTTACTGTTGAGAATATTACAAATGTCCCCCTCCATCCCCCCATTTCTCCCCTCCACCCGGTTCCCACCCCACCTGACCTTCACCACACTATTGTCTGTGTCCATGGGTTATGCATACATGCTCACCCACTGAGCCACACTGGCCCGGCAGAACAGCAAGCTTTGATTAACCAAATTCCTTGGTTAACCTCTGCCCATTCCCCACTCCCCTTCCCCCTGAAATTCATCAGTCTGTGCCATGCTTCCATGCCTCTGGACCTGTTTTGTTCGGCGTTTTATTTTGTTCAGTAGATTCCACATATGAGTGAGATCACGTGATATTTGTTTCTCTGACTGGCTTATTTTGCTTAGCATAATGCTCTCCAGGTCCCTCCATGCTGTCTCAATAGGTCAAAGATCCTTCTTTTTTATAGCTGCATAGTATTCCATTGTGTAACTGTACCACGGCTTTTTTATCCACTCATCTACTGATGGGCACTTGGGCTGCTTCCAGATCTTAGCTATTGTGAATTGTGCTGCTATGAACATAGGGGGTACATATATTCTTTCTGATTGGTGTTTCGGGATTCTTAGGATATATTTCTAGAAGTGGGATCACTGGGTCAAACAGAAGTTCAATTTTTTATTTTTTAAGAAAATTCCATACTGGCTTGTGTCAACTTCCTAAATTTTCTTTTGCTTATTTCCTTGGAGTATGTTCCCAAAGGTAGAATTTGGGAACATACTCCGAGGAATTTTCCCAAAATCTCCATAATGGCTTCACCAGTCTGCATTCCCACCAGCAGTGTACTAAGGTTCAATTTTATTTATTGCTAATAAGCCTATAAAATATAAATGTTTTTATTTACTCTGATTCTTACTTCCATTTGTTAAGTGGATCCTAAAAGAATAAATATAACCTTGCTCACCTATGAAGATACACAGGTGCCAACACATTTCATCAAAACTTGCTATTCTGCCTGGCCGGTGTGGCTCAGTGGTTGAGCATCTACCTACGAACAGAGGTGGTCACGGTTTGATTCCCAGTCAGGCTTGATCCCCAGTGTGGGGCATGCAGGAAGCAGCCAATCAATGATTCTCTCTCATCATTGATGTTTCTATCTCTCTCTCCCACTCCCTTCCTCTCTGAAATCAATTAAAAAATATTTTTAAAAAACTTTGCTATTCTGCATAAATATCAATTGCATTGCCCCGCTGGTGTGGCTCAGTGGTTGAGTGTCGACCTATGAACCAGTCACTTAGGGTTCAATTCCTGGCCAAGGGAATTGAAATAAAATATCAATTGAATTTTTATGTACTAACAATGGACACATGGAAACCAAACTTAAAAACATAATACCCTTTCTCAAAGTAGAAGAAATGACTTTTTAAAGCACATAATTTCTGTATTTGCAAAAATTTTTTTTAATAGTATCACATAGGCAAAGTGGTATTGGAAATGATTTTGTGAAATAAAGTCTACGTAGGAATATTTGAACAATGTCCAAAAAAACCCCCATAATACCATTTACAATCACTCCAAAGAAAATTGCTTAGGTGTCAGCTTAAGAAAACATGTACAGAATCTGTATGCTGAAAATTACAAAATGCTAACGAAAGAAATTACAGAAGACCTAAACGAATGTAGAGACTATTGTGTTCATGGATTAGAAGACTCAATATAAAGATGTCAATTCTCCCCAAACTGATTTATAGGTTTAGTGTAATTCCTATCAAAATCCCAGAAAGTTTTAAGTTCTAGAATGGTTAAAATGATACTAAGGCATATAGCTACAGTAAACAAGATGGTGTGATATAGATGGAGGGATAAATGCATATATCAGCAGGATAAAAGAGAAAACTCAAAATATAGACCCACACTTTTATTCAAGTTTTCTTCATTCTTATGTTAAAATATTACATCTGTCCTTGTCTTTTTAATTCTACCTTGCCATCTTTTGGATGTTATAAGTATGCTAGTCTATATTCTTGTTGTTGATATTTTTGTTTTATTTTTACATTTAATTCTAACCCATCCAGGATTTTTTTGTAGTGTCTGGTGTGAGATAGAAATCCAAGTTAGTTCTCTATACCAATAAATTGTACTCATTATGTTTATTAAATAATTATTCCTTTATCTGTTATTTGATTATTTTGACTTGTCGTGGCTCAAGTTGTCACACTGGGTTTTTTTTGTTTGTTTGGTTGGTTGGATGGTTTTTTTAAATCACAGTGTTTTAAATTTCTTTCCAAGATCTTTCCTATTCAGTTGATCAGTTTTCTGTTTTGGACCCAATTACATAGTATCTTCATTGCCACAGCAATAATTTCACCCTTAACATTTGTAGAGAATGCAGAAATATTTGTAGGGATTTCTGGAGTTTTCTAGAATCACAGTTCTTCCTGGAATTACATACTTCCTGTACATCTCTCATTCACTTAATGTCTCAATTTTACAGAAGATTCAAATTTTAACACTTTACTCCATTTGCTCATTATTTGATAACAAGTAGAAAGGAATAAAGCCAAACACTCAAAAGCTATAAGATGTTTGGTAGGTCTACTTACTAAGGACTTGCCCAAATGTAAGCTTTGCAGCATGCACAATTTGAAATCATACCTCAGGAAAATTAGAAATTACTAAACAAATTACTACACTATATGGTTCTAGTTTTCCTGGGAAAAGGCTAAACTGCAAATATTAAATCCATGAGTTATGAGTCCATTTTAAAATCTGGTGAATCAGCCCTAGCTGGTTTGACTCAGTGGATAGAGCATCGGCCTGTAGGCTGAAGGGTACAGGGGTCAATTCCTATTAAGGGCACATGCCCGGCTGGAGGGCTCAATCCCCAGTAGGGGGCGTGCAGGAGGCAGCCGATAGATGATTCTCTCTCATCATTGGTGTTTCTCTCTCTCTCCCCCTCTCCCTTCCTCTCTGAAATAAATAAAAATATTTTTTTAAAATAAAATAAAATCTGGTGAATCAAATCCAGCATGGTTCCTTGGCTATCTTGGCTGCTCATCCTCTAAGCACTAATCCTTTGGACAGTCCTTTATTCAACTCTCTAAGCTCATGCCAATCTGGCCTGCTACTTATATAACCCCTCCTTTTTTAATTCACAGGGATAGCAGGCTTTATGACTGTGGTGTCCTATGGTCTTTACAAGTTAAAGAACAGAAGAAATCAGAAAATGTCCATTCATCTTATTCACATGAGAGTTGCTGCCCAAGGATTTGTTGTAGGAGCTGTGACTCTAGGTAACCTGCTTAATTTGTAACTTGTGTTCAGCTATCTTTGAGAGTATTTTTATTTATTTTATTCATTCATAGTTGAAGATGAATATTGGGTCAAGATGACATAATGGTGGAAGACTGGTAAGAAAAACAGTTCTTCACTTGGTTGAGGTTGCTGCCCTAATATAGGCTTACTTTCTTAAAATTTTAAACACTGAAAAAAACAACACCACAGTAGGCAGAAGGTACACATTTCCAGTTATAAAATAAGTAAGTCATGGAATGGAATGTACAGATTGGCAACTATAGCTAATAGCACTGTATTGCATATCTGAAAGTTGCTAAGAGAGTAGATCTTAAAAGTTCTCATCACAAGGAAAAAAAGTCTGTAACTGTGTATGGTGATGGATGTTAACTAGACTTACTGTGGTGATCATTTCACGATATATACAAATATCAAATCAGTATGTTGTACACCTGAAGTTAATGTAATGTTGTATGGCAATTATACATCAATTTTTAAAAACCCAGTGGAGAACTAGCTTATGGGCCCTGTTAGCCTCTATTACGAAAGCAGTGAACAGTTCATACCTACAACAGCTGAAAGCAGTAGTTATACACCTGCCTTTATTGCTCAGTTAAGAGCAGCAGTCATGGTTCCCAGCCGATTTGAACAACAGATATAATTACTAAAGTTTAACTGGGAAGAAAACATTTTTAGAGTCCACAAGTCTTAATATCCTTATTCTCCTTTTATTCCAAGTTTGAGCAATAGGAAATCTTTTTTATTAGTCTATAAATTAAGCGATACTTACATAGTCAAATCCAGAGAAATTATTTGGTTAATTCAGGTTATATCAACAGCTAAATCATATACTGTAGTTCTAAGAAAGAGTCCACTTTGGAACCAAAATTATCTTGATTTCTTGGGGTCTATATGAGACCAAGGCACAATGTTCTTAGCTCCCCTCCAGGCTGTACAGAGTAGAATCAGCCTGAGAGTAAGTCTAGGACTATGGAGATAGGTGTGGGGCTTGCAAATAGGGAGTTAAATGGTAATTATCTTATTACTATGAACTGTGATAAGGGGAGTCTTGAACAAAGTTCAAAAAGAAACTTTACAAAGTTATAGTCCTCGTTTTGTCCTTCCGCAAATATTTACTAGGCATTTTCTATTTGCAAGGCGCGGAGCTGGTCTATAGATGTGGGGGTCGGACTTGGTCCCTACCCTCACATACTGTTCGTCTCCTCAGGGAAAGAGACCAAGAACAGGAGAAGAAAATACAAAGGCATAGGTGCTATGGCGGAGGTAACACAGGTGCTTTGGGAGCACAGGCACAAAGGAGGGGCATTTGACTGGCGCTGAGAGTCCAAGAGGCTTCTCTAAGGATGTAAACTGTATAATGAGCCAGGAAATGGAGGAATTCACTAGGCAGAGGAAAAAGCAATGGCACTGGAACTTAGGGCTGGGTGTGTAGGCGAATCAGTGTTTGATGAGAGAAGCAGAACGACCAGTAGTAATATATAATAAGGGACTTACTTACAGGGACTTGGGCTGACTATATAATTGTGAAGCTCTTGCTTATGTATCAGGAGCTGGGCCACAAGATGAGCAAAAAAATGCTGTGGCAGTGCCTTCCAAGCAGAAAGAGACTGTGGCTGCTGCTCAGAATCTCCTGTAAATGCCTCGGGGGCAACAGGGCATGAAAGGAAAGGAATTCTTTCCTGGAAGTCATGCAGCCTTCAGGCCCCTCACAGGACCAGGAGCTAGGAATTAAAAGCCCTGGCCCACCATTTTGTTTTCCCATGTTGTCCGGCACACTTAGAAGTAACCAACTGTATTATACTCCCGCTTCCACCAAGTGCTGTATGGAAGTAAACACTTGATCAGCAAACGCCATGCTTTTTATAGGCATCTGATTAAGGGTATCTACAGGCGATAATTTCACAAAATCTTCTGCTAATGCATGATAGCATCCCCTTTACCGCTGTAAGAAATGGCCATTAATACCTGTAAGTCTACTTAGACCAGAGAACCAATTCCAGATAACCTGGAACCAACACAAAGAACTATCCTCATGGTTATGTCTCTCTGGAAGCTTCTGATACCAAATTCTGTTTCAATCAAGGTTCAGTCAGAGAAGGAAAACTATTAGAGATAATATATAAAAAGGGATTTATTGTAGAGATATGATCTTAAGCAAATTTGGGAGCATGGACTGTTTAAAGTCCATGTTAGGCTTGTTGCTTGTGTTTCTGATGCTGGGGCCTGAGGTTACTAAGGCAGTGGTTGGGAAGGCAAAATAAACTAGAATCTGTAAGGATGAACTGGAGCCCGCAAAGGCAGAGGGGAACTCGAGTCCGTCTCTTACTGACTCCAGCCCTGATCCCGGTGTGAGCTGTGGGAGAAGCGGCACCTCTCTCAGGGAGCTCATCCACCCCTGGCCTAGGGGCCGGATAAGCCGGGAGGAGATCCAGCTGAGCTGAAGGCACCGTGGGCCTGCTGCCCAACAACAGCGAGGTGAGCCAGCGGACAAGCAACTGCACCTGGTGCCCTGCACCGAGCCCTCCAAGCGTAAACCGGACATGGCAGCTGCTGCTTCAGCGTTCACCTTCATGCCTCAAGGTCGCGTGAGCCAAACTAACCCACAACTATGCAGGGAAGGGAACTCTGGAAAATATAGCGAAAGCTTAGTTCGATCTATATAAAACAAACCCCCAACAGATTTTTATGGTTGTGAGACGAGGAGTAACACGATGAAGCGAGCCAGTAAGGAGTTTAAACACAGCGGAGTAACTTGGACAGAAAGATGCCTGCTTTATAGAAAGATCAGAAACAGGCAATATGGAACTGTTTGTTTAGGGCCTCTAGATAAACAGTCCCACTATAAAGACAAGGAAGGAAACCATATCATAGAAAGGGAAGGTTGGAAAGGGACACCTGGAAGGCTTCTAGGATGCCTGCAATATTCCATTTCTTGACCCATAATTATAGGTGTTCACTCTACAAGTACTTGTCAATCTGGTCACTTAAGCTGTATATACTGCTTTCTGTGTTTGTATATTTCAACATGAAAAAAAATGTTGAGGAAAATGATTAGAGATGATTTGCAATGGACCGGAGGAAGTAAAGACAGTGAAGTCGGATGATGAGTTGGATCTGAATTAAGTGCAGTGGAAATAGGAGATGGCTTCTAGAAATACTGAGGACTCGGCAACAAAGTGATTGGAAAAAGAAAGGGAAAGAGGAATCAAAGATGATCCTAGGTTTCTGGATTGAGCAACTAGAAATAAGGGTTGCCTTTCATTAATATAAAGAGCAAAGAAGGAACCAGTTTGGTGGGAGGATGAGTGCATATTGGACAAAACAATAACAACACCTAATGATTGCTAATGATGTGCAAGCCACTCTGCTTTATATATTGTTCTCTCATTAATACCTACTTTGACACCACCTGGTATGCTGCAATACAATTCAATACTGATGCTCACCACCTGGAACTCAGATCAGATGCCAGAGGTGTAAGGGCTAGTTCCCAAAAATACTGCCCTTACTTCAGACACCAGCCTTTGGGGGTCCCCAGGGCATCTGCACTTCTGATAAACTGGCTACAAATTCAGGGGTCCCCAAGACTCCCTCAGGTTTATTTTACTAAAACAACTTACAGAATTCAGGAAAACAATATACAGACAGTCCTCAGGTTATGTCGAACTTGACATACGTCGTTTTTTGGTTACATCACCATCTCCCATTTATTTATTAAAAAAAAAAGAGTTCCGTCATTTCGACATATGTACATATGTGCTTTATGTTTTTAATTATTTATTTATCAAAAGTAAAGGTCAGGAATTGTTATCTTTCTTTCAAACTTTTTTTACTGTTTCACTTCATTACTGCTGTGTATGTGCTCCATGTGAGTGACGTAGGTGCTTCTGTAGGTGGGCTCTGACTTACGGTGAAAATGGCGTTATGTTGTGCTGTAGGAACGGATCTCCTTACAATTGTAGTTTCACTATAAAGTATACAAATCAGGACCAGCCAATAGGATAAGGTGTGGGAGGATAGAAAGCTCAAAGCTTCTGTGCTCTCTCCCTGTGGGATCAGGGCTTGTCACACTCCCAGAGTATCAATGTGTTTATCAATCAAGGAACTCCACTGAACTTCAGTGTGAAGAGCTTTTATTGGGGGCTTCATTATATAGGCACTAGAGGTGCGACGCATAAAATTCATGCAAGGGGCTCAGCCCTCACAGCCCCAGCTTCGTCCAGAAGGTCGTCCAGATGGTCGTTCTGCTGTTCGGTCAATTAGCATATTAGCTCTTTATTATATAGGATGGTTGATTGAATTGCTGGCCACGTGACTGAGCTCAATCTCCAGTCCTACTCCCCTCCCTGGTGGTCTAAGAACCCTGTGGTCACATGGTTGGTCTGATTAGCCACACCTTGAAGCTATCTAGGAGCCCACCGTGAGTCACTTATTTAGCATAAATTAAAGTATGCTCCAAGGGGCTCATGAATAACGAGGCAATCCTGTTACTTGGGAAATTCCAAGGATTTTAGATTTATACCAGGAATTCTGAACAAAGACCAGTCTTTATTAAACAATACTCTTTGAGGTAGGTACTGTTATTATTCCATTTTACAGATAAGGAAACTGAGGTTTAGAGAGAATAAGTTACTTGTTTACAATCACATGGGAAATCTACTCCAGAGCCTGAACTCTTAATTTTATATTATAGTGACTGAGATGCCTATGACAGGTGTTTCCAAATTAGAGTACTCATACCCTATGAGATATATAAGGAGATCCATGGGGATATGGGAAGAAAATATTTTTATCTTAAAAATAAAAACTTTACCAATATATAGGCTGACCATGGGACACTTACTAGTATACTGTTTATAAACAAATGTGCATCTTGAGGGGCATGCTCAACTCTTTACTTATGCACAATTTAAGTTTGGAGACCACTTTCCAATGAAATGTAGAAATAGCACATATGGTACATTGAATATACATGGGATCTCATACTCAGAAGAGAAATCTAACTTGCTTACCAGTGAAGCAACAGGTGTGAAAAGAGTTGAGCTCAGAACTGCAGGGAACACCAACACTTAAGAGGTAGGCAAGAGGTAAGAATTCTGTGTCTAAAAAGCTCAGGGAACAAACAGGGAGAGAATGCCATGTAATGATGGAGGCAGAGATTGGAGTGCGTATCAACAAGCCACGGAGCACAGCCACTGTCAGGAGTCAGGAGCCAGGAGAGGCGTGGAGTAGATTCTCCCTCGTGTCCTTCAGAAAGTAACAAGTCTGCTGATACCCTGACTTCAGACTGCCAGTCTCCAGAATCGTGAGACAACATATTTCTGTTGTTTTAAGCCAGAGAGAGAGAGAGAGAGAGAGAGAGAGAGAGAGAGAGAAGAATTAGAAGCAGCACAGGGAAATGAAATAAGTCTTATAATGCTCCCTGAATCTGAGAATGTTATTTCCATCGATACCACAATAATTCAAGTTAAAAATCTTTGTCTTGAGTTCTATGCATCTACTAGAGGCCCAGTGCACAAGTTCATGCACGGGTTGGATCTGGCCAGCCCGGCCCCAATCAGGGCGGATGGGGGCTGGGCCTGTCGGGAGGAGGAGATGGCGGGAGGTTGGCCAGCAGGCCCACCCTGATCGGGGCCCAATCAGGGCCAGGCCAGCTTGGGGAAGGGACCGCGGGTGATTGGACGGTGGGCCGGCCATGGGGAGGGACTGTGGGCAGTGTGTTGGCCAGCCCCACCCCCAAATGAGGTGGGGGTGCCGATTGGGGGCCAGCAGCCCGAGGGAGGGGCCATAGGTGGTTGGCCAGTTGGCCCTGCCCCTGATTGGGTGGGGGGAGGCTGATCTGGGGTGGGGCTGGGTGGGGGAGGGGCTGCAGGAGATTGGCTGGATGGCCCCACCCCCTTTTGGGGTGGGGGGTGCAATCAGGGGTGGGGCGGCCAGGGGGAGGAGCTGCAGGAGGTTGGCTGCCCAGCCCCACCCACTATTGGGGTGGGTGTGATCAGGGAGAGGCCAGCCAGGGGGAGGGGCTGCAGGCCTATCGTGGTGGGGCTGGCTGATGGGGAGGAAGGAAGGGGGCGTTTGGCCTGCCGCCCCAATCAGGGGCAGGCCAGCAGCGGAGAAGGGCTGTGAGGTTGGCCGGCCAGCCCCACCCCCTGATCGGGCCAGTTCGCTGGCCACAGTGGGCGTCATAGCGACCGGTTGTTATGGTCATTATGGCCGTTACAGTCGCTGGCTTTTTATATATAGAGATGAAAGCTATCATACTATTTCTTTAGAAAACTGTGCAGACATCTGCCTCACCTAGCTATCATGTTGAGATAAGAACAACGAACCTCCTGACCCTTTATCTTCTGTGCACTCTTTAAAGGTATTAACAAGCAGGATCAGAAAGAAAGGGGAAGGAAACTGCAGCAAAGGATTTAGTTTAGACAATCTACGAGACAGGTGATGCCTTGATACTGCTATGGACAAGAGGGGGGATGAGTTGTAGTTTAAATCTGACTCCTTAACTTGCTTTGGGTATAAACATCTGCTGACATCCCTGGAATTCACTGGAGCATCTCCTCTGTTCCTCACCCTTTTCCTACTTCAGCCTTTCTGCATGACCCGATGACCTCATATTATGGGAGATACACACCTATCTCATCTGCTTCCAGGGGTGGGCAAACTTTTTGACTTGAGGGCCATAATGGGTTCTTAAACTGGACCGGAGGGCCGGAACAAAAGCATGGATGGAGTGTTTGTGTGAACCAATATAAATTCAAAGTAAACATCATTACATAAAAGGGTACAGTCTTTTTTTTTTTTTTAGTTTTATTCATTTCAAACGGGCTGGATTTGCCCACGGCTGGCTTAAACTCATAGCTAGTTCACCCATTAGACTGTAAATCCCTAGAAGCAGAGATTAGATTTATTCACCTTTGTTTTCCTTGGGATACTGAGCAAAGCAGACACTGAATAGATGTTTGCTAAATTGAGGTGCCCATTATTTTTAATTTTAATACCTAGCCAGATATTTTCACTTTCACCAATATTTTAAAATTCAAACTTTAGGATGGCATAACATCCTAAATTCAGACTTATACTAATCTCAAATAGCTCTTAGTTGTGTGTGTGTGTGTGTGTGTGTGTGTGTGTGTGTGTGTGTGTGTGTGTTTTCTGGAGCTTCTTGTATAATCCAAGCCAAAACTTTATAAGATGGAAAGTGTTGTTTGTTGATTTGTTTGTTTTAAATTGTGGGCTAGCTTTGAAAAAATGCAGGTGGGAGAAATTCAGTGTTTGTTCCCATGGATGCTCTATTGATATACATCTTTTTTGTTTCTAGGTGTTCTCTATTCTATGTATAAGGATTACATTAGACCTCGATTCTTCAATGTGTCCAAAAAATGAAGCTGCATACAAAAAAATACAAGAAGCCTTCTGAAAACTATTATGAGGAATGAATTTTCAATATGTAGCAAATTGTACTGCAGAAGTATTAGAGTTTTCACAGCCTGGTATAGTAAGTCTCAATTGTTTAAGAAGTCGACTTCCAAAGCAATAATCATAGTCAACGCAAAAATATCCCTGATGATGTCTTTCAGAACCTAGAGCATGATTTTCTGATTTAAATTTTTTTATTCTGTTGTTAGTGACAGAAGATAATCTATCTTATGACAAACCAACCTTAAAATTAAGAGTTAGCTATACATAGTGGCTACAGAAATTTTCTATATCCATATCAAATGTGACAATCTATACATTGCTTAATTCTCCCCAAATAATTAAGGCTTTCATAAACTCACTTTTAGAATGGGCAACAATTATATCAGAAGAGAATGGTCATGTTATTTAAATTTGGTTCACCACTGTGCACCTCACCCTTATATAGAAACTTCACTATTCTACCACAAACATAAATGTTTAACATGTATATATCTGTGTACTCGTTTTTATATTTCTTGAAAGTATTTCTAAGAGTATGGAAGGTAAATTGCTAAAAAAAAAAAAATAATAATAAGTCCCTTTTCCCCCAGATGGTAATATTGTGGGGGTGAAAGGATTTAGTCCAGACATGCTATTGCTAATCTCATATGACACTGTAGAAAACACAAAAAACCAAAGTAGACATTACATTTTAAATAGTCTCTGGCCTCAAAGTCCTCTGTAACTGCCCTAGGGTTCTAAAAAGATTTATTAGACTGTGTTAAACTCATAACTGTCATGACTCAGATTTACTCCCTTAAGACTCCAAGCCTGGAAGAGAAAAGAAACAGCCTGACCGGCATGGTTCAGTGGTTGAGTGTTGATCTATGAACCAGGAGGTCTCGATTCGATTCCTGGTCAGGGCATGGTCAGGGCACGGAGTCCACAGCCCAGGTTGTGGGCTCGATCCCCAGTGGGGGGGCGTGAGGGAGGTAGCCAATCAATGATTCTCTCTCACCAATGATGTTTTTATCTCTCTCTCCCTCTCCCTCCCTCTCTTAAAACCAATAAAAATATTTTTTTTAAAAAAAGAGATTCACTGAAATAAAATCAAGAATGCACTGTAACCCCGGCCGGCGTTGCTTAGTGGTTGAGCATCACCTATGAACCAGGAGGTCATGGTTGGATTCCCCGTCAAGGGCACATGCCAGAATTGCAGGCTTGATCTCCAGTAGGGGGCATGCAGGAGGCAGCTGATCAATGATTCTCTCTCATCATTGATGTTTCTCTCTCTCTTTCTCTCCCTCTTCCTTCTTCCCTGAAATCAATAAAAAAATATTTTGCTAAAGGCCCTAGCTGGTTTGGTAGTGGATAGAGCGTCGACCTCCGGACTGACGGGTCTCAGGTTCGATTCTGGTGAAGGTCACATGCCCAGGTTGTGGGCTCGATCCCCAATAGGGGGCAAGCACGAGGCAACCAATTAATGATCCTCTCATCATTGATGTTTCTATCTCTCTCCCTCTCCCTTCCTCTCTGAAATCAATAAAAATATATTTAAAAAAAGAAAAACAGAACGTAAGACATTCTTTGTAGTGATTTCCTCTTCCTTGCTGTTTCCTGTACTGGAGGGTTATTTTGACAGGAAGGTGAAGTCTAGTATTTGAGGAAGTGAAATGTAGAGATATCTGAAAATATGTCTGCATTCTAGGTATTAGCCCACTGTTCTGTGTATTATATACACTTTTCTCCATTGGCACAAGTAATTATTTTAAAAGTTGTCATTTGTATCTATCATGAAGCTCTTTTAGTGCCACCAACAAATACACATTTTGGTCAACACTGTCCTCATTGGAAAACAGGCAAGGAAAGAATTCAACTACTTTATTCCATTGAAGAAAATATTCCAGCAACTACATCTAATATGTTCCATGAAGGTCAGGAAATTTGAAGATAGCTGGCACAGAATGCCATGCTGCAAAGACCCTCTTTTAAGAAAGGTTACTTGCCAAACCGGTTTGGCTTAGTGGATAGAGCGTCTGCCTGAGGACTGAAGGGTCCCAGGTTCGATTCCGGTCAAGGGCATGTACCTCGGTTGCGGGCACATCCCCAGTAGGAGGTGTGCAGGAGGCGGCTGGTCGATGTTTCTCTCTCATCGATGTTGCTAACTCTCTATCCCTCTCCCTTCCTCTCTGTAAAAAAATCAATAAAATATGTTTTTAAAAAAAAAAAAAAAAGAAAGGTTACTCTTCATGTTGATTGCACAATGAAAAGATAAGGCTACTGGAAAGATTCCACTCTCTCAATAAATACTCAGCATTAAAAATAGATTAGCTCAGTGGGCATGGCTCAGTGGTTGAGCAACCTATGAACCAGGAGGTCACGGTTTGATTCCCAGTCCAGGCATATGCCTGGGTTGTGGGCTCGATCCCCAGTGGGGGGTGTGCAGGAGGCAGCCAATCAATGATTCTCTCTCATCATTGAGGTTTCTATCTCTTTCTCCCTCTCCCTTCCTCTCTGAAATTAATAAAAGTATATTTATATTAAAAAAAAGATGAACTGAAGTGTTTTAATTAGAAATGTTTTTTCCCCCACAAAACCCAGAAGGTTCCAAAATTAATCTTACTGAGAGAATTAAAGTAATATATTTATTGCTTGAAAAAAGCAATGCAAAGTATTTATTTATTAGAGTAGCCATGCATGAGAACTCACCAATGATGTTATCACACATGGAGAAAAGTATGCAGGATTCTGATTTACCACATAAGCTTGGGTAAAGAGGGAGGGCCAGTGCAGGAAGACCCTATGAATAGATAATATACAGCACCTGAATTTGCACAATACTTCTGGGGCAAAACTTTGGTGGCTTAACGTCATAATATTTACAGTTGAGAAGGGTATTTTCATTGGCTACTGGAAGCCTGAATGCCTCACTTATGAATGCCTTTTGTATTAAGTGACACACAGTTATGGAGCGGCAGCTGCTCTGTAGCAACTACAGACAGGCCCCGGGTTACACTGGACTCGACGTACGTTCTTTCGTGGTTACGTCACCATCTCCCATTTACTTATTTAAAAAAAAGTCCCGCCATTTCAATGTATGTACATATGTGCTTTATTTTTTTATTATTTATTTACCACAAGTAAAGGTCAGGAATTGTTATATTTCTTTAAAATTTTTTTTACTGCTGTGTACGTGCTCCATGACACATGCACAGCAGGAATGTGTTATACACAGTGAGTGACGTAGGTGCTCATGCGGGTGGGTTCCGACTTACGGCGAAAATCGAGTTATGTGGCGCCGCAGGAACGGATCTCCGCCCTAACCCGAGGACCTACTGTATTTAATTGCATTTTTTTGACATTCTGGGCATACAATGCCAGAGCATCATTTTACAAACTGACTTAAACCCCAGGGATTGAGTGAGTGTATACATAGGCTATTCTTCCAATTAAATATATTATCTGTATACGCACATAATATAGAAATCCAGATTTTTAAATCATAAACTAGAGAATGGTTAAATGTTCTTAACTTAGCAAAAATGTTTACCCAAGACTCACCCTTTAGACATCAATCTCTTCAACTGGTTTTAACATGATTCCGCTTGCTTTATTATCAAATTTTCTAATTACAGGAGTCATAGGACCTGAAGGGTAACTTTTATAAGTTTTTATGAACTCCAGTCTGTTCCCAGTAATATACAGTTAAAGAATGAAGAAGAGCTACAGAAACCCTCCAAGTATATAATCTCTGTTTAACCAACCACCTCATCGTTTTATGAGTTGCAAAACAACAAAAAAAATTTTTTTTGGCTTTTCTTTTCTTTTCTTTTCCCAAACATCCTCTTGGAATGTTTCTACTGGGAAATGAAATTGTCCAAGGAGGAAAGAAAATGCAACCAATTGTTTTGAATTGCTATCTGTGCATAAAGAAACCAAAACAGTGAAACTCATTTTAAAAGTCTATTTTTAAAGTGAAAGTTGCTAATTGATATTAATTCAGTTTCATTTTTAAAATTGGAAGAACTTTAACTTGGGTTACAAGGCTGCTGCTCTTATCAGAAGTTGTAAGGGCCCCTGAAGTAGAAATGAGGGGATTTTAAAATACCATCTTAGATGGCCAAATCACTATAAATGAAGATAGGCAATTATTCAGATTTTTTAAAAGTCTTATTGAAAGGTACTAAGTTTTAAAATAAGAAGTCAGAAATTTAACTTTTATATTGAAGGAAGAAAATGATGCTCAAAGTCACACAAAGGCTGCAGGGTTTACAAACTCAATGCCTTTGGGGCTGGAAGGAAATGAGTGAAGGGGTGTATCCATTAAAATGGAAGGGGTATATCCCATTAAAATGAATAGCCCTCATGGCCGGTGTTCGCAGTGGTTAGAGTACTGGCTAGCACACGGAGTTGTCTCGGATTTGATTCCCAGTCAAGGGGGTGTACCTGGGCTTGCAGGTTCGATCCCCAGACACAGTTGGGTATATGTGGGAGGCAACCAATCAATGTCTCTCTCTCTCTCTCTCTCTCTCTCTCTTCCTCCCTCTTTCCTTCCCTTCCACTCTCTCTAAAAATCAATGGAAAATATATCCTCAGGTGAGGATTAACAAAAAATAAAATATGGATAGCTGTGCCCTGGCTCAGTTGAATGTCGTCTCATGCTTCAAAAATGTTGCCATGCCCTAACTGGTTTGGCTCAGTGGATAGAGCGTCGGCCTGCGGACTCAAGGGTCCCAGGTTCGATTCCGGTCAAGGGCATGTACCTTGGTTGAGGGCACATCCCCAGTGGGGAATGTGCAGGAGGCGGCTGATCGGTTTCTCTCTCATCAATGTTTCTAACTCTCTATCCCTCTCCCTTCCTCTCTGTAAAAAATCAATAAAATATAAAAAAAAATGTTGCCAGTTTTCCCCAGCCAGTGTTGCTCAGTGGTTGAGCATCGACCTATGAACCAGGAGGTCACAGTTCGATTCCCGGTCTGGCCACATGCCTGGGTTGTGGGCTCAATCCCCAGTGTGGGGCATGCAGGAGGCAGCCTATTAATGATTCTCTCTCATTATTGATTTTTCTCTCTCCCCCTACCTTCCTCTCTGAAATGAATAAAAATATATTTTTTAAATGTTGCCCATTTGATCCCCAGTAGGGGTCATGCAGGAGGCAGCCGATAGATGTTTCTTCCTCTCTCTCCCTCCTTCCCTCTCCCTCTCTCTCACTAAAGTCGATAAAAACATATATATATGAATAGCTGCCATTCAGACCCAGCCAACTGCACTCCCAGGCAGGAATGTGAGCCCAGTGTTGAAAATCTTCCAATTTTACAGATAATCATGCAAAAACTTTCCATTTTTAAATATTACACTTTTATTATAAAAATTTTAAGGAAAACAATCCTGGTTAGGAAGAGGGGTCAAAAAATCTGTAAGCCACACATGGGCCGGCAGTATGTTGACATGTGGACTAATCTTCCAAGTGCCAGTCTAGTTCTAATCTAATATTACTACTTGGTATAAATATATTGAAATAAAATGCTTAGCATTCCCTAGGAGATTCAACATTAGAAATATAAGCCACTCCTGGAAATAAGCTTTGGACCTAGAAATGATGTTGGACTGTTAATGGGAAAAGTGGGAAG